TCTGTGCTGCCCCTTTAGACGGGTCTACATAGTCCCTAAGTCTGGTCATGTTACTTCTTTGAATCTAAGCAAGCACAAACAGTTCAATCAAAATGAAAAAATAACTAAGTGCCCTCATTTTGCTTGTTTATATCCATGACCAAAAGTACAAATGAGATGAGGGAACAAATAAATGTACTCTTGTTCCCCCTTTGTATCCAAATAAAAAGAAAAGAGACTACAAAGCAAGAGAACAAGTAAATGTACTCCTGCTACTTCTTCACATCTAAACAAACATAGAGGTTCTGATAAGATGAAAGAATAAGTGCCTTCATATTATTTCCCTGTATTTGAATAGACACATGCAAATTCAGATGAGAGTAAAGACCTTTCATTTTCTTATGGTCCATTGCATATCAATATCTTCAGTTATTTCACAAGCCAGATTTCACCATTATTAAACTGTAAATCTCCTTGATTGACTAAAATCACCCAATTCCTACACTACTAAACCCAACAGTGTATTTTTAGTTCATAATATAAGGGTAGCTTATGAACATATTTTTGCCCTAAATATAGACAGGATTGGAGAGAGTTGGAGTGATTGTTACTCTTGGTTCTTCAGGATATCAAATGTAGGGACATGACAGGCCATATCAGCAATTTATAACAACAGTATGCCCCATGGCCCATTCTATAGAGCTTATCGAATTAATTTTAATACTGGCTTACCTGATCTAGATTAAATTTTAAAGTGGGTGGCATCCTGAGATTATCAGAAGGATTTAGCCACCGAAACCACTGCCTGGGTCCATCCCGGGTCCATCCCTGCTCCCAGGTGCATTCAACGTACCTCTTTTCAAAGCCGGGAGTTTTCCGGCTTAAGAAAATGGCTGCTGGAGCAGTCTTGGGCTCAAAGATCTGGATCAGGTAAGCCAATTTTAAAATTAACGTGATAAGTTTCTGTGTATGACCTTGGCTATTTCCTGTAGCATGGCATGTGCCCTTGGTGTACCTCATCGTATTTATTTGTTTGTTAATATTTTATTTTATTTATATGCCACTTTTATCCTGGAGCGGGATCCAAGGTGACTCAATTAAGGAATCAATTAAGAGCAAACAATAATATTTTTAAAACAATTAAAAATCATCAAATTAAAACAGTATAAAAATCATGTGAAAAGCATGCAACGGTTAAAAAAAATAAAGCAACCCTCCCCTCCATAAGAAACCTCCCTGCAAGCAATTATACATTAAAAGCCTGCTTAAACTAAAAGGTCTTTGCCTGCCTGAAAAAAGAGCCAGCATGGTGTAGTGCAGGGGTAGGCAACCTTTCCCCTTTAAGGGTCGAGGGACTTCAGTTCCCAGAATCCCAGGAGCTATTGGCCAACATGGGACTATTGGCCAACATGGCTGAGGCTTCTGGGAGCTGAAGTCCGTCGGCCCTTAAAGGGGAAAGGTTGCCTACCCCGTAGACCATGAAATCCAACTGGATGACCTTGGGCAAGTCACACTCTCTCAGCTTCAGAGGAAAGCAAAGGCAAACCCCCCTGAACAAATGTTGCCAAGAAAACCCCATGATAGTGGGGCCAAAAGTCAGGAATTACTTGAAGTCACGCAGCAGCAACAACAACAACAACAACTGGCGAGCAGCCACTGAGAAGGTTCTCTCCCATGTCCTCACCAAGCAAATAGTGACAGGACTGAGAGAAAGCCCTTTCCTGTAGCTCTTAAGTCTCTAGCAGGTTCATATAGGGAGATAATGTCTTTCAGATAGTCTGGACCTAAGTCATACATTGATGCAAGACGTGAGAAATGTGTCCAGTTTCAATTCATTTCACTTTCTTCAGAATCAGAGGAGGTCCGAATGGTAAACTAAGGCTGAAGTTCTGTTGGTTAGTCCCAACATGAATAGACCCATTCAGTCAACTGTTGAATGGTGAGCCAATGCATAAATAGATTTAATTGATTCAATGGTTCTACTCTAGACAGACGAATTTATTGCATTACAAATAATGTAACTTATCTTCGATGGGATACAGTTGCATTTCGGGTTACTACCGGGTATTATCACATTTAAATCACCACTGCTGCCACCAGGCACCTGCAACTCAGCTGCAGTCCAGGTCCCAGCTGCACTTAGCAGGTTGTTTTTCAAAATCGGGAGCTTGACGTTTTTGAAAAGTGGCCAGCTAAGTGCAGCTGAAACCCAGGCTGCAGCTGGGTTACAATTGTCAGTGACAATTTAAATGTAATTATTAATTAATTAATTTATATCCCACCCCTCTGCAAAGCAGAGTTAATGCTGGTTAATACCTGGTAGTAACCCAAAACACAGCTGTATCCTGTCAGGGATAAGTCCCATTATTTGTAATGCAATTAGCTCCAGATTTAAAACAGGATTTAGTCTTATGTGTTTATTTTTATTCAGTATTAGCCCCCCCACCTTGGGAGCTTACCACATCATTAAATAAAGCGACTTACCTGAGCCAGCTTAAAATTTAAATTGGGTGGCATCCTGATATTATCACAAGGATTTAGTTGCCAAATTTGCCACCCGAATGCAGCCCAGGTCCATCCCCACTCCCAGGACCACTCAGTGTGGTTTTCTTCGAAGCCGAGAGTTTTCCAGTTTCAGTAAATGGCCACTGGAGCAGCCTTGGGAGTGGGGATGGACCTGGGTTGCATTCAAATTCAGCAGCTAAATCCTTGTGATAATATCAAGATGCCACCCGATTTAAATTTTAAACTGGATCAGGTACGCCATATTATTTAATGATGCAATAAGCTTATTGGTCAGGGTGTATGATAGTTTGTGATTTGGGGCATGCTACAGTATATCCTAGTGAGTTCATCTTTCCTTTCCTATGTACTGATCAGACAATCAAAATGAAGACAACAAAAAAATAAATTAAATCGAAGACCTGAAGTGTTTTGTTTTCTATACTTTATGTAATGACAGCATTCTGACAGAAAGAGTGTTTTGTTATGATTCCTTGCTAGCGAATTTGTGTAATAAGAGATCACCTGTAAAAACAAGGTATAGTAAATGGAATAAGTGACCTTTAGTGATTCTGGCTTGCCTGTAGCTGTCAGGGGTCTGTACTGAATTTGAAAATAAGTGGCTGGAAATGATAAACAAGTTACAGAATAGGAGAAGGAGAATGGCTTTTGTCATATTTTTATTCTATCACTACACTTGATCTTAGCCAAAAGGCCGAGAAGCGATTTTTATTCTATCAGAATAGTTAACAGCAATTCTGTAACTACTCACTGGGTACTGAAAGTAGCCAGGGTTGCAGCCACATACACACATGGTATACAAATGGTGGCTGTGTGCAGTGAAGTCAAGAAGAAACAAAATGCAAAGGGACAGATAGTGACAATTGCATTATTAACATTACGGCCATTCTAAACATAGTTGTCACTAATGACACTGAATCCTGGCATTGGTAAGCAGATAAACATTTCAGAAAATACAGTCAGCCCTTCATACCCATGGATTTTTTTTATCCATGATTCAAGCATCCACAGTTTGGATATATATTCCAAAAAGCAAACCTTGAGTTTGCTATTTTATATAAGGGACACCATTTATTATGCCATCGTCTTTAATGGAACTTGAGCATCCACAGATTTTGATATCCATGGGGGTCCTGGAACCAAGCCCCAGAAGATACCAAGGGCCCAGTGTATATGAAGAAGGGAGAATTCACATTCTGTTTGAAAAGCAAAGGCTTTAAACTGAACTGTGTGGGGAAGGGCAACAATGTCCTGGAAGACAAAAGGACTGGAGAAAATAGTCAAACTGTC